GCTGCTACTACTACTACTACTACTACTAGTTACTACTACTACTGCTCCTGCTCCTGCTCCTGCTCCTGCTCCTGCTCCTGCTCCTGCTCCTGCTCCTGCTCCTGCTCCTGCTCCTACTCCTGCTGCTGCTACTACGTCTGCGAGTAGCCGATCCACCATTGGCCAACATCGTCACTGCTACAGCATGCAGCAAACAAAACATGATTACCAGGGCTGCTGCTGGTGTTACTCGGAAAGGAGCTGCTGATGCTTTAGCTACTTCTGTCAATGATTTAGCTGTAGATGCGAAGCCCAGTACCATCCCTGATATCGGCCTTACGGAATCATAGCCACTCACTGGCAGCACCAAATAGTTGAGCCTCGGCTTACATGCAAGGATTGAATGTGTAGCAGCAAAGCTTCTGTCAGTCTGCTTTCTACGCAGAACTGGCGGCCAAGAGACGGCAGTCTTGCGACTCGTGCATCCACAGATGCATTGAAATATTGGCCGTGCAAGCAGGCAATGAGTGTTGCAGCATCGCCGGTGCTCGCAAACAAAGCCTTCTGATAAGTTTGAATGTGCTACACGGTGTCATGTAATTCGGCCCGCACGGCGCATCCCCACAGTAGGAGTGTGAAATGCCCAGGGGCGACACGGAGTACCACCGAACAGAATTGCTTTTGACTGAACAAATAGCCCGGCAGCTGTGCCAGACTGGCTGTGATCGGAGTCTCGAACATGATCCACCTGAAGCAATCTGCGTGCTGGCTGAGAGCTCACAGCGAGCCGGCTGGCACATGAAAAGCATCAATCATTGCAGCTTTCTGTTTCCAACTAGTCGTTGACTTCCTTATCTTCGAGTCTCAACTTGAGTCTCAACATGTTCCATTACCAATATAGTCAGTAAACTACAGCTCACAAGGGACTGACTTCCGGCAGGATTTCTGCTTCCATAGTTGTCACAATTCCCTGCAGAATAACCACGAAACATCCGCCGAGCAAGAAACGATTCCGTCGTCGTCCAGACTCACGCAGCCCTGTCCCGGCCTAACGCCCCACTTGGGACAACCCGGTTGGACCATCCCGCCACTGTAGAAGAGGTAGTTGCCATTCAATGCACCGTAGATGCCGGCCTGCGAGGTTTCGAGGGGCCCAAGGCTGCCCCGAGCTATTCATCATCAGTTTGGTGACATAGAGACCATAGAGCACAAATCCAGGATGTGGCCGTTGGAACGACTGCCTTGGCAGCCCAACTTCCCCCCAAATGCTCCGAATAATTCTCGATCTAACCCACAACCACTCTTTGCCTGGCACGCCCAACAACATGCGGCTCGCGGTTAGGGGCACAGTTGGCCTGCAGAGCAGCCTGTTCTTTCGCCCCTGCCCTGAACGTAGGATCATCGCATCAGCATCCTTCAATTTCCGCGGTGGCACCTCGAGGTTCACAGCTGTCTCAATGTGGTAGTGATGCATATCCTCGCAAAATCTTGTTTGCAGCCAAGCGCTTTCCACCAACCTTGTGAGGTACTGACGACGACGGGTTTCAACTCTTTGGGACCACAGCTGCAAGCTCCCCGACCGAACAGGAATAACCGGAAACGTCCCAGAACCTTTCAAAGCCTAAAGGCTGTCCTTGATGCTATCCTTATAGGCTTGGAATGGCAAGCCCAGCTCCCGCAGCAGCGGACTCTCCACTCCCAGCTTGATGGGCACCTGACCGTCTTCCGAGAAAAGAAGAATTCAGGTTCCCGGGCACCGTTGTCTGCTCCGTTCTGTCCTTGACCTAATCAACGCATCTTCTACGACTCCCGCAAGGGGAAAAGACAACCACAGTGAGCGACACCACCATGATCATGATGGCGATCATCATCATGATCATTATGATGGAGATGACGAATTGGTGTTGGTGGTGTTGTTGATGGTGAAACCAAGGCCATAGGAGCATGGTGGCAATGACAGTGCGAGGATGGTGCTGATTCAGGCGATGCTGGAGATGCTGCAGACGAAGATTCTAATGCGAAGTACTCAAGATGATTGGGAGGAAGCAAGAATCTCCATGATCATGTGCATCACAACCATGATCATGACATACCGTTGCTGCGTCATACCACCACCGTTGCCAGCTTCACTGCCACGACTAGCGTGCCGAGAGCCGGCGCGACAACAACCACGGCTGCAACTACTAGAAGTTTGCCATTCAGTTGGTAGTACGAGACATATGCAAGAAGGCACTCTGGCAGTGCTGTAAGGATTCTGGTTCTGGTTCTGGGTGCTTTGCTGGCTGCACGAGCCCGAGGTCGGATGACATGATCTTGTGACTGGAACTGTTCGCTCCAGTGGTAAATGCAGCTCGGCGTGCCCTGCATCTGCGAACTTGGGTGGGGTTATGCAACTCGAGGCACGCTAATATACAGCCGGTGAAGCTCGTCCTCCGTCTCCTGAAGCCGTCGTGCATGGTGCTGCTCACCTTCCATGTAAGTTGAGTCGAAGCCACGGTATTGAGTCAGAAGCAGGGTGGGGGAATTGCGGATCGTCCACCTGCCACCATGCCGGCAACTCCTAAAGGCCGATCCTTTGCTTGGACTCCACTTGAAGTGGAGAGATGCTCTTCTGATGGCAGGTGCGATTACATGTTCTTAGTTGCAAAAGCAGCCGGGCAGAACAACGTCTGCACTGAAGGAGATTTACTTGCTAGAAGCTGCACGGATCGTTTTGTCACCAGTGTGCAAGTTCATCCAATGTGTCCCGATGTTCTTATGCATCTTTCCATGCTGCTATCTACCAGAACTTACGACGGTACAACGGTAGTACGACGGGATACTTTTGAGGCAATGCTAGGAAGTAGGGGGAGTCAGTCAGGCCCTCACCGATCGACATCAGCTTTGATTTCCGAAAGAACGAAGACGACTTCACTACTGGGTCCGGCCTAGGAAGTCAGCAGTCTCCCTCACCGTGGTGGCCACCTCATCGCCGAAGACTAAACCTCCGGGGCCCGTGCAAGCTTCACTAGGGCAAAGGCCTAGCTGGCCTAGTTTGGTCGGACAGATGTACGGCTTAGGGTTCAGGGCTACAAGCCCCCTAGTCGTGCTCTGCTACGAAACCTTCGGCTTGACAAAGCACTGCAAGACAAAACAGACAGATTACATGCTGAGAGCCCAAGGCTAGCGAACCGCGTCTCGGATTGGATGATGGCTCTGGGTGCTGTGACGGCTCTGTTCTTCTTTGCCAATGCTAGCAGAAGTTATCTGATTCGTGCCGTTACGTATGTTGAATGAGGCCGAACCTGCTGTAAATATGAGCACGCTGCACCGAGTCTTCCTGTCCGTCAAGCAATGCCAACAGAGCTGTGAATATCGTCCCGATTTGCGACAGAGGCCTGCACAAGGGACTGGCGCCCCCGAAGTCTGCACAACACAATTTATCAACACTGGCTACTGTTGGTCGTACATGCTACCAGCTTGTCTACCAAAACGGCCCGGCATCACAACCACATGCTTCAAAACACCCTCTGATCAGTCCACGTGGCACTCGATAATGAGCTCCCCTGCGTGGTAGAGCCCATTGTATGTGTGGGACGACACCGGCTTGATTCGGATCCTTTCATTGGCAAGATCCCACTGAGATGACTCATGACTTCTGCCAACATGGGGAACTCGAATGATCGATTGCAGAGAGCAGTGTTTCCATCCATTTTCGCTGAACACCGGACGGTACCATTCGAGGATTCGAGGTCCGGCGAGGCGCTTCCGCACCATGTACTTGTATCCCAGCACCAGGATCGTGCCGAAGTTCGGCAGGGGCCCGGCGACACCGGCCTGAAAGGCAGTCTGATCCACAGCTATCCTACTGTTCCACGGCGACTACGACTATGACTGCGACGTCTGCAACTGTGGCCTCCAGTGGGATTGCATCAACGCTGTAGTTGCCTGAGGCTGAGGCCCACGCTCAATCGGGCAAAATATGGCCACGCAGCCACACATGCTTTCAATGCAGTCTTGCAATGCAAGGTGAAAAGACATGGCTTCTCTAGAAATGGTCATGGTCCGACTCTGTACCATGTACGTGCAATGAGAGATGCCGGCCAAGCAACTTGGCATGACCCTGACATGTTTGATAGTCTTGAAGTTCCACTGCGGCAGCTCTGCACCGGTGGTGGATGCCTGTGTCGTCATGAATGCTGCAAGCATGTCCACTACAACAGAAGCGTGGCCCTGACGTCATGTCAATACTAGAGTACGAGAGACAGAGAGATGGAGGGGGGACCGAGAGAGAGGAGGGAGAGTGAGAGAGACAAGACAGAGAGATGGAGTGAAAGCACCGCTTCGACGGACTGAACGGCTGCCAAAACCATTCCGCTGTTCCGTGTGAGCGAGCCTCACAACTCGCAACACAGAATATCTATGACATACCTGGGCTCGTTTGAACAACTGGCGACGTATGTGAAAACATGCGCACTGACGACATCACATGAGCAATCTGAAAACGCGCAAGAAACTGCAGCTGCAGGTGATCACGAGCCCGAAAGACTCTTCCAGATTCGTTCAGACTTCACACATCCAAAACCTGCTCGCCCCACGCCCTTGCTGAGCTCTATGCTCGGTTTCTGGGTGTGCACATCTGCAAAGTTTACAGCTCAGCTGTCTGCGTGGGAGGAGAAACAGAGATACAGAGAGAGACAGAGAGAGACAGAGAGAAAAACGGCGGGTGAGCGGACCTGCGGACAGGTGGACAGAAAGGTGCTGACGGACAGAGATGCCGACGGATTTTGTCGGACACCAAGACAGGGAGCGAGAGAGACAGAGAGATGCACACAGAGAGAGAGAGAGAGAGAGAGAGAGAGAGAGAGCCCGACCGAGATAGACAGAGAAACAGAGACAAGACAAGGACAAGGCACAAAGAGAGCGAGAGAGAGAGGCAGCAATTGACCGAGACTCTGTGCAACTCTGCTCCCTCCCACCTTCGAGGCGGACATGTCCACGGGGGACTTGACACAGCCTCGCAAAGGCGATCGTCTGACTCCGGAAGCCAAGCACTCAGAGCACTCTCTCAGCTCTGGCATAATATCAACAGCCACTTCCATAAGACGTAACACAGTTTCTATCTTCCGGCTAGAAGGGTGCATCTGCAGCGTGCTAGCACGACATGGCTCAACGTGCCATTTACCAGGAGCAATGACATAACACGATTGGTTATGAATTTGCAACGGTAGCCCTTCCAGCAACAGCACATCTACACCAAAGGCAGTCGAAGGCTGGACCCTGGCACAGGAGCATTGCGCAACCACAGATTCCAAAAGTTCGAGTCCGAGTCCCTGGAAACCCCGAAGATGGCTACGGCCCAGGGCTCTGGCTGTTCATTTTCTCTTGGCTCATGCCGTAATCCCAGCACCTCCGCACATGCAACAAGAAGTTCTAAGACCACCAACCTGATAGGCATGTCTTGAAGAGTAACTGGCATCAGGGCCACTGCTAGGACACGAAAGGTTGAAAGCTGATGATTGATCGGACTTGAGACGTACAACAAAATCTCTCGTGTGATTGTGTTGTTGCCATCTGCCATGCTGCCTGCAGCATAAGCGACACTTCAAGCTAAGGATTTGCTACGGCTGCTCATCGCAACCCTCACACTTCGGCTGTCAGAATCCGCCCATGTACTATGAAACCCTCCCAACCATGATGGATGTTGTCAGAGCAGGGAAGGAGAAGGATTCAGGTTTCACTGAAGAGGCAAGGCACATGCCAGATCGGAAGGAGGTGCCGTTGGCAACAGCGGCCTGTCGAGCGAAGTCGGCCAAGACAGGAACCGCTTGGCACCAGCGCATGGTCTTCGGAAAAACGTGCAAGAACAGGCAGCCAGCCACCGATCAGCACAGAACATGGCTCTACTTGCTGAGCTGCATCTGGCTCGCGCAGTCTCTCGGTCGTCATCTCAAGCTACTGCTTTCACTTGCTGTTCTCCCCGCTCTCGTTGTTTCGCTAGGAGTATTGGGCATGAGACTCAGAATACTCTGCGATGCTCTTCTTTCCCCTGCCCCTCCCCCTTTCGCGGACTTCTTGCTGCAGCTCTCCGTTGCATTGGCGAAGCAAGAATGGTTGGAGCATCTTCTGGCTCAGCGGGGAGCGCTGTTTCTTCTGTTGGGATCTGTGGCATGGCTCAACACTGCGGAGCATCTAAGCTAAAAGCCCGAGGTGACTCCAAATTCCAGGAGCAAAATCACAGCATGCTCCTTTCCTTGAATGACTCTCGCCGTCGCTCTCGCCTATGATTCGCGCTGATTCTAAACCTAGCCAATCTGAGGTGGTGGAGCAGCTTCCACAAGGTGGCAGTGGTACAAGTACCATGAGGCCATGAGGCACTCCGATGGGTCAAAGACACCAGCTGTCGGCCGCCTGACAGGTTGCTTCCCAATGCGGGGATCCCACATTCAGCGTGTTCATCTGCACGGCCCGGCATTGACCTCCAAGGAAGGATGAGCCCGGCAGTTTGCAGCTGTCTTCGTCCAGTGATTGCGTTTTCAATCAAATTTATTACGCTGACAAGAATCAAGAACATCAGCAGACAGACGGACAGACAGATAATGACAGATACAAACAGAGACAGAGACAGTGAAACACGCAAGCAAGTGCAAGCACACGAAGCTGCGACCCACACACACACACACGCACACACACACACACAAACACACAATTTGCGCACGCACTTTCCATCGCGCGCTCCCTTTCCTGCGGCTCACCGTCCTCTCCTAACTGTATTGCCAAGGTGCCCAGAAAGGGTGAAGGGATCGGGCCTCGCTTGTTGATCCCACCTCGAGTGTCTGCTCCCACGGGGCCAATGCTCGGAAACGGGGTTATAGTTATTTGTGCTAATATGTCGTACATATTTGTGCATCGTGCATCTGACGTGGCAACTCGTCGCGCCTGCCCAGCAGCTGAGGACGGCTTCCAGTGATTTGGCTTGTGAGGTGAGGATCGGCTGCGCCTGGGTCGACACAGTTCTATGGCGAGCTACATAGCCGGTTGAAAGAGGTTGCTTCGCAGAGACCATGGCCGGGGTCTGAGAGTGCCGTTTACGAAGGCTGAACTTATCTGAACACTTTCGGGCTTCCAGGCTGGGGGCTTACATGTGCTTGCAGCAGGTCTGTTCCAGCTGGCGCCGGTGCCTTGCCAAGAACAAAATACTTGACGGTCTCCGTGCATGGTGGCACCGGAACGCTTCCATCATACCTGGCAAGCGCAGGACCGACATGCACACTGCGGCGTATCCTTCACCGTTTCCTTCCTACTGCAGGATATCCTGGCCTTACGGCTTGAAGCTACTACAGTAGTATACCTCTCGTGCGGAGATGTGACTCGTGAGCAGCCTTGGATTCCCACAGCTCACCCGGCACATAAATCAGTCAGCAATCTAGCCTGCCTGGCATCTCCCTGATCGACGGCAGCCCTGACCCCATCCCAGTAAGGCCGTGCTCAACAGGAGCCATCCAGGAAAAGCATCGACGTACTTTCGTTGCCCACTCCGTAGGAACATCACCCGCAACACTTCGGCCAGGATGCTTGTATGAAGGCCCCTCCAGAGAGCTTGACAAAGCCTGACACAGATGCGGCAGGGTTTCTTTGCTCCACTACCAGTAATTGGGGCCTCTTGTTGCAGGCTTCAGGCCTTCTGACTTAAGGCTTAAGGCACGAGAGCTTCCGAGTATAGGATCCAACGACTTCGAAACCGCAGATTCATCTCTGTGTCTTTGTCTGCACATCTCAGAACAAGTCTTGCGGGACAGGCCTCTGCCAGATTGATGTAATGCGATGCCGTCCAGGATTTTGCAGGGCTTGCAATGCCTTCGCTGGAGAAGCCTCAGCTGTAACATAGTTCCATCCGCTTGCAATACTCCCTCGCTGAAGCTGCACCGGCAGACTATGCAGGGGCGCATTGCCGCAGGCAAGCCAACAAGCCCTTCTCACAGTAAACCTGGGCTAGCTTGAACCCCCTCGCAGACGGAATGCCGAACTGGCTAAAGATGTTGCTCTCGGTGCCGTTCGTGTCGTCGAACATCATGCTTAGAATCACGCCGTCCTTCGCAGGGATTCTCCTCTTTATGTGCTTTCCAGGCTTCCATTTGGACATGGTTGTGACTCCCCTGACTCAACCCTGAAGCTCACTCATCACATCACGGCAAAGACCTTTTTGATCTAAACCATGCCGCCAACACGACACTGTCATCGTATGGCCCTGGTCAAGGAGTGATGCGGGCCTTCAGCATGTTGGGAGCGCCCTTTGGCTTATGGAGGACCATCAGCTCTGCGGCCTGAGCGAGCGTTCGTGAACCAGCCCGAAATTCACGACGGCCACGATAAACTTCGCTTCCAGCTAGTGTTCGAGTACCGTTCCACACCAGTGTGTAGAGGCCGGGTCATCCGAAGGATCAAAGAAGAGTCCAAGCCAGCAACATCCGCACTCGCTCTCTGCCAGATAAGGCTGAACCTTTCAGGAACCTCCTTACCAAGAGCGTTCGAACCAACCAAGCGCAGGAGCCATGTGCTTCCCATCCACTTTGTGCCTCAGCCGTTCCACAGGCCAAAATGTGACGGGACGGACAACTTTCGGTCAGTCTCAGGGTCGCGGTATAGATCTTCCGATCGTCTGAACTCCACACCCGAAACCCCACTGTCCCCGGCCCCGAACCCCAAACTCCCTAAAGGCCCTGAAGCGTCCTGTCAAGGATGGCTGGCGCTTGAACCCCTTGCCAACTAGCACTGAGTTGCGGAACTAGATCTTCGGTGCGAGCAGTGGGATCATCCGAAAGGAGACGGGAAAGAAGAGCAAGAAAAAGGGAAGCAATTGCACGTAATATAGCCGCTGCTTTCTGCATTTGTCGAGACATGATGCTAAACATGAATCATCATGGAGGGAAGGGTACTGATACCGCTTGTGACACAGAAGCCCAAGAAGAGCGCCCCAGAGGGGAAAATTCCGAAAGTACCAAGCATCCAAAATCCACTGCACATCCCGGGCACATGCTCGGTGCCGTCAGGTGGACGGAGATCGCCTCATAGTCTTTGGCCTCACCTCCAACAGCCAATAGCCAGGTCGAGCCTAGTCTAGTGCTGTCCTTCAAAACCCCGGAGCCGTCTCCCTGAAGGCACTTGGGATTGCCGGTATCCTCGTTTGCTCAGGGCCAACTGTATGCCTCGAAGTGCGGCATTGAAACTATAAGACAAAAGGACACCGGAAAGCGTGTGGAAGCGCAACCTGCACACGCCCAGTCCCAGGTTTAGGCCTGACTCACCCCGCAAGCGAAGGTCGCCGTAGTTACCCTCTGCACGGACCGTCCTCATGTAGGAGCCTGAAGCTTGTGGCCGACAAATCGAGCCAAAACATACGGATAAAGATTCGCACAAAAGGCAGACAACGTGGGGAGGGACAGTCCTGACGGACACCCACATAAGCACATGCACATGCACATGCACTCATACTTGCACACACACACACGCACATATAAGTATGTATGTCTGTCTGTATGTATGCATGCATGAATATATAAAATTAATCGATGTTAGCACTCATATTAATATGAAAACTATGGTAACATCAATATGAGCATTCATGCTACCACTTTAATTCAATATGATCCAAGCTAACCTAACCCAATCTAATCTAGTCTACCAATCTAATACAACACAGTATAATAAAATGCACTACATAATCTTACATTGAAATATGATGTGATGACATATAACACAACCCAACATAGTATAATAGAAAATATTATATTATACTATATTCCCATATAAAAACATACAATGTAATGTAATATAATGCAATTTTTGCCTCCCGCCTGGCAACATATTAACAAGACAATATAACAGAATTCAGTGTAATGTTGGCTCCTGCATGGCAGCTCGATGTTACCTGACGCTCCATGGCAGGTTACATGCGAGATTCTTGGATTGCAGCTGTTCAGGGGGCACGAGCTCAAGGAACACAGTACAAGCCCCTTCCAATCAGCTGCAAGTGCTAAAGTGAAGAGTGTAGCCCCACAGCAAAGGTTCAAGGGCCCGCGCTCAGTTCAGAAAGCATATCTGAATATAATAATATACTATATATATATACTAGTGTAATATAACACAATATGTAATAAAAACATGATACATACACATATGTGCGCTTGCAGGTATGTATGTATGTATGTATGTATGTATGTATGTAGGTAGACGGCAGCGTTCAACCAGAACTCATTGCCACGAACAGCAAAACAGCTTTGTATGTATGCATGTATGTATGTATGTACGTATGCATGTATGTATGTATGTATATATATAGTGTTTATCTTTATATTCATTTTTATATTTATGTTTATATGTACTTATTCATATGTATATTTATTTGTTTATTTATTTATATATATATATGGAAATGTATGTATTTATATTTATATGCACATGCGTGTGTGCACACACACACCGCCTCTGCAACAATGATTACGCTCAAGTGGCTGACTCGTACTTCGGGTGGCTGAACGCTGCCCTGCGCCTTTCGAGTTGCGACGCGTGCAGCAGCAAGCAGGCGCGAGCCAACAGCGCACGTCTCCGGACCGTACCAAAAAGTGCAGCAAAGATGCCGTGTAGCCAGTTGCTGTCTTGAGTATACCATCTTGGTCACTTATCCTTGGCGAACTTGCTCCAGCTGCGTGTCCACTTACTAACACGATTTAGCAAGTTTCAATCCAAACAAACGCCGCAGTTGTGTTCACTTTGAGATACTCATAATCCTTTTGTTGATAGCATGAACTGACTGCGATCACCACCGTCATCATCACAACCACTGCGAGCAGCATGATTCTGATAGTTGCTGTTGGCACTACACATGTCTTAGCTATATGAAGTAGGCCATGTCGGTCGCGCAGCCGTGCTAGCCGTTATAAGCGAAAAGCAATATCTACTAGCAGCCTGGCAAGAAAGTGGCAAAGACTGGTCAGAAACAGATTCAACTCCGGGAAGAAGCACTGAGGTGTCGGGTTCAGCAGCTGCTTGGGTTCTTGCATTTTGGCACCATGTCGCTGCGGGCAAGTGGCCGGTCGATTCCACAGCTCGGGCTGTTCAGCGGAATGTCTATTGGAGACTGCCTCTTCCCAGCGCAAGCCTGACAAGTTACTCCAGAGTCTGCAGCCAACACCGCGATGTCATCCAGATCTCGACTTCGGCAGTGCAAATGCGCTCAGCTGGCAAACCATGGCCGCCAGATGATAAGCCTGTTCATGCTGCCAGAGTTGCTAGGTACTTCTTGGGCCAATATGGCATGTCCGCGAAGCCTTAGTCACTGGCGGTCTCCCGAGGCCCCTAGCAAACTTGCTAGCATCCATCTTCCCACAACTGCCCAAAAAGCCTTGCCTTGCATTACTGAGTTGGGTCGCCAAAGCGCTCCAATCGTTTGGTGACAGCGGCCAGCCAAACGGGGAAGGCTCACTGGAGTACGGCGTTGGTACCCAGGTTGGGCAGCCACCATAGGTCTGCAGCCTGCACTGCAGGATTTCGTTTGTGCGAAAGTCGCAGACAAGATTCGAAAACTGCTCCCAGGAGTAGCAGTAACAGCCGCGGCGTATTCGTGCCATACTAGTAGTTGCAGGGCAGTAGCAGTAGCAGTAGTCTAGCGGTAGCGATAGCGGCATAGCAGCAGTAATACCAGTAACAGTAGAAGACTGGTATAGCAGCAGCAGTAGCAGTAGTGCTGCTACTACTTATGCGTCTTTTTCTGCAACTAGGTCTGGCGGACGTTATCACTGGCCAGGTGCAGATGCGAGTGCGTTGCAAGATGGATGCGACGCCCACGCGGACGCTGTCCAAGTGGACATTCGGAACAGGCTTTGATGCGAGTGTCCCACGGATGACGCTTTGTTCTAAGACTTAGGTCTGAAGTTGTCACCGATGCGGCACAGCAGGATTGTCACTGGATGCGAGTTCCCCACGGAGGCTGACTAAGTGGCTGCTGTGATTGTGCAGGCCTGGATGCGAGTTCCCAATTCATGCAGTCCAAGTGGATGCTATCGCTGGCCAGGCATGCATGCGAGCCCGGATTTCTGCGTTGGCAACTTATGAGCCCCAAACCGGAGCAAATGGGCATGATGGAATCCAGTACCAAAGTGCTAGTACAGCAGTAGCAATAGTTCTAGCTGCGATAGTGGCGGGCTTGTGCAGGTGCCTTCGCACATCGTCAGCATGGGAGGCCACGACAGCCAGCAACAGGGTCGTCGCGAAAAGAAGCCCGCCTGACGATCTGGGGACCGAACACGATTTACATGATGCATGGACTGCTGAGCTTTCCTTTGGTGTCGGTCGTCTCCTGTGTACTCGCATGCCGGGCTGAGTGCTACTGCACTGCTCACGACATGCGACTTCACACGGCATCTTGTGTTTTCAATGACCGTTCCTCAGCGCTTCAGGTCTCAACCGGGAAGGAAGTGGGTCTGAGATGCCAACGAGCAGGCAGCATGACAGCAGCCAGCCTGAGCACTGCCACTCTCGGGTTTCGTTCGTCAAGCTTGGCTCTAGGTGAAGGAGACAAACTCCCACAAAACACATGAAAACACCGGAAGCTCCTGCAGCTGCATTGCCGGTGGCAACTTGACATGCAGAGCTGGGGCAAAAGCCTTACCCGGATTGAGGGCTGGCAGCGTAACTGGGACCCTGGCGCCAATTGGGCACCCAGCCCTTTCTAGGCCGAAGCTGGTGCTCGAGAGAAAGACGCAAGCGGAAGCACGGAGTGCCGGACACTCGGGCCGGGATGCCCAACATACACAATGTATGCGGCCACACTTACATAACGGAACGGAACAAAACTCAACACATCATGACACGTCATGACAGGACATAGCATACCACAATACCGTATGAAAATTACTACTTGACATATGAGTTGTTGTGCCTTCTTCGCGAACAACCAGCAGCGTTGCGGCATGAATCTTAAGAACCGGTGGAGGGAGACCACTAGCTGGAAGAAAAAAACCCTCGTACGCGCTCGTGGCGTCTATGAAACAGTACCGTTCCTCCAATGAAGAGCGTGGTCAGGTGTTGACTACAAAACAAAAAGTTTAATTTCTAATTAAACAACAGATAATATGAGAGTACATACCATAGATGATGAAATATACAACATCGAACCTCAAACAATAACGTAACAACTACGACAATACACCTCTAAGGCAAAATAAGAAAACACTGCATGGCATGGTCTATCAGAAGAAAACATAACAAAACACATAACATAACAAGGAGGAAATGAACAGGTGTACTCATACCATATCATAAAACTTCATAAAACATGATCTGACACTACGTAACATAGCAGGCTCACAAAGCATGTACCATAGCATGCTCTGGCACATTATCACACAAATATATTTCACCCTTGTAGTATACAACCCATATTATGCAAGACAAAGGGCATAATATGGTGGCTGAGAGTACATGACACAAGACATGGCACATCGAAAATATGATACGTTACATAGATTGAAAAATGCTACACAAAACTGAGAACACAATCAATCTATATATATATATATTTCCAGATAGATATATATAGATATAGATATATACACATATATGCATTTATTTGTTATATGTTTTGCATGTATGATCAAATATATACGACAGCTAACATGTAACACATGATCTAACATGCATAAAACAACGATAAACTGCATAACTATAATGCATAATGCAAACATGTGGTTTATCATAAAAGCTGATGGATACTCGACTCACACACTCGCACAAGGCTGGCATGGTGTTGCATATTCAGTAACCTCTACTATTTCATATCTGTGTTGTGTTGTGTGTGTGTGTATATATATATATATTTGCCGGACAACAAATACATGGAACATGGCATGAACAATCTCTGACATTCCAGCAACAGAGCTGGCATACAGCATGGCTTATGTAATGTGATATGTAACACGTGGATAAGTAGCGTACCTGATATATGATATGCAATAAAGCCATCTCATATAACATTGGATTGGATTGGGTTGACCGAGACTCGAAGATCTCGCCTAAAGTCCTAAAGAGAACGGCATCACCGCCCGCCCGAAGGCTAAAGGCTTCAGGATCAAGCCCAGAAGAGGAAAGGAAGAGCTGCGGTAGACAACATGCCAGCTGATTGCGGTCTCTCCAATCATGGACAGGTAGAGTACTAGCGCGTGGGTGCCCCCGAAAACCCACCAGCAAGCTTGGCCACGAAGGGGTCGATTGCAGCCGGCTTCGCCAAGAAGTCGATTGCAACCCGGGTGGTGCCCCCGAAAACCACCAACATGCTTTGCCACTGGGAGGTCGAGTACGACCACGG